TTTTATCATCTTCAGGTTCCGTCCATCAGATATTGGATGGCCATTTCCATTATGTTCAAGGTGTTGCCTGGGATCCCTTGTCCAAGTATGTTGCTTCTCTCAGTTCAGATAGGACTTGCCGAATTTATGTCAATAAGCCTCAAGCCAAAACAAAGGGTGTTGAGAAGTTGAATTTTATCTGTCAGCATACGATTGTCAAGGGAGAACAGCAACAAATAGATGATGCTAAGGTTAGAAAGTATCTTCTTTGTTACTTTTTGTATTCTAGATGGATTTGTCACTTATAACTAACCTCACAGATGGTTTGAGATACAGTCTGTAAAATACCATCTCTTTCATGATGAAACACTGCCATCATTCTTCCGTCGATTAGCCTGGTCACCTGATGGTTCGTTTTTACTACTGCCAGCAGGTATTGACCTAACTGCATGTCCAGTTCGATTAAATAGTTATCAATATACTTTAATACTTTCACTCTGGTTAAATATTTTGTCTTTTCACTCACTTCCCCTATCATCATTTGTGGGCAGTAATTTGAATTTCCATCCTTAATAGTTCTGAACCAATTCACTTACAGAATTTAACTGTAGCTCCTCACATCTTTTAAAGAGTATGGACTTGCTGTGTTGGTTCCATTGATAGCAGTGCATTTTGTTTCACATTTCTTGCATTGCAGGTTTTTATAAAATCCCAGCTTCATCTGAAACAGTAAACACTACTTATGTCTTTTCCAGAAAGGACCTGTCAAGGTAAAGACATTTACTCTATTATGTATTACTATGGAGGCCTGACATCTATCATATCTTAATGCATAATTAGTCACAATATTTTATTATTGTAAGAATTTTGTAACCTAAATTGTTTTCACCTAATTTTTATTTACATTAGCTTTTGTTATTTTTCTGGGTGGCAGACCTTCTTTGCAGCTCCCTGGTGCTAGCAAACCAGTTGTCGCAGTTCGTTTCTGCCCTATAGCTTTCAACCTTCGGGGGTCAAACCCAGGTACCTTTGGCTGGTAATGCTTTATTGTTATGGAGGCTACCATGAATTTTAATGGTAATTTGATTTTCCTTTCTGACTTTGCAGCTGGCTTTTTCAAGCTTCCTTATCGCCTCATTTTTGCAGTTGCAACTTTGAATTCATTGTACATTTATGATACAGAGAGTGTTCCTCCAATTGCAATTTTGGCTGGTCTTCACTATGCAGCCATAACTGACATTGCGTGGTAAATATTAGGACTTCCCAAGAAGATATGCTCCTAGTTTAATGGCTATCATTTTTTGATTGAGTTTTATCATTTGGAGTTCTGAGTGGCTACTATTTTTGTTGGTGAAAGGTCATTTGATGCTCGTTATTTAGCATTGTCATCTCAAGATGGTTATTGTACTTTGGTAGAATTTGAGAAGGACGAACTGGGACAACCCAGTTCTTTATTAGGTTTGTTGTTTATTCATTTATATGCTAATGTTTGTCCATTAATTTTCTTTTCATTTGGCCTTTAATCACTTCTAACAAAAATTTTTTCTAGAACCTATGAATGTCGACAAAAAGAGCCCTGTTGTCCAGAAGCCTGATGACATGGTGATTGAAACTGCTAAAGAAGATGATTCAATTACAGCAGAAAACAGAAAGACAGAATGTATGGAAAGGAGAGAAGGGAAACAGCCAACACCAACACCGAGCACGGTGAATGCTCCCATCTCAAATAAGCCAGCCAAGAGGCGTATTACTCCAATGGCAATCGATCCATGATACTGTCGTGCTATCTTCTGTAAAATTTTTGTAGTTGATAATACGCCAAAGTTTCCATCTGCATGGGGCTGAATTAGTCATCAGCCATTTGATGTATCATGTTTGGTATACAGAAAATTAATGCAATCTATGTATTCCCGTGAAGAATTGCGGTACACTAGTAACCTTTTCCCCTGTAAGCAATCCAAGTGAGATAACAAGCAGATTGTATAGCAACCTTCAACTCCGATCATGATGGCGGCAGATTGATGCTTTTTTAACGATTTGTATGTGAAGAATTTTGCTTGAATCGTCTAACTGTTGAGAAATGTTTTGACATTAGGCATTTGCTTAGGTGAAGCACTTGTTTCCTAGGATCCTTTTTCTTCTTCAAGTTCCACTCCCATCGTTCGAGATCTTATTACTTCATTGAAAAATCAATAAACTTAAAAGCTATTTTAACATACAGTTTCATAACAGGTAGATTCAACTCTCAAGTTAAAAAATTAAAATTGGTAGATATGTGTATGTGACTTTAACTTACGAAATCTGCAAACATCCCATCATATTTATAAAGATTGGTTAAGACTTCAGCTAAAATAATAATACTAAACAGTTTATTGGTAGGCTGCATTTCGTTCTTGACAACCCCATAACTTGAAGATATAAAGATTGCCATTCTCTTACTTGTTGCCTAACTTATTACGCTATTTGCGTATAAATATTGACAGTTTTCATTGCCTTATGATTCATAGTATTGTCTATTAGCTGTACAAAGTGTAAGAAAGCAATGAAGAGCCAACACGGTTTTGTTATCTTTATGCTCTTTATTCTGTTATCTTCTGGTAAGCCATTCCATCATCATATTTTCTCCATTTTTAAGTTTCCATCAAGCAAATAATTATGCTTTACTTAGCTTATCAATCCACTTGAATGATGATAATTTTCAATTATGCAGCATCGACAATAATTAATATTCAACTCTAATTTCTGTTTTGATAGCATTTGATTCTCAAGTTCTAAATTCCATTTCTTTTTCATTTTATTCATATGTTTATTGAATAATATATTGACTAAATTTTGAATTTCAAAATTAATATTATAGACCATTTAAGCAGAATATTCCATGTTATAATGCATACAGGATACGAGGTAATGGGGCAAAATGAAGGGCGAGTATGTGCTACACCAGAAGATTTACCAGGTTGTGCAGATTCAAGCTGCCTCAATTTGTGCCTACAAAAATATGGAGATAAGGCAAATGGATTATGTCAAGCTAATTCATGCTTGTGCTTCCACCCATGCTAATTTTTTTGTTCTTCCCAATACATAATTTTGATTAGTATATAAACAGTACTAGCTACAGCTCAATATTGGCAAATCCATCCAAAGTTATATATATGATGTTTGATTCTCTTTATATATATATATATATATATATATATATATATATATATATGTATGTATCTTATCTTTTAAAATTGTGTAATTGAGGGAATCCCTTCTAACATTTAATATTTCCTTTAATCTTAATTTACAAAAAATAAAAAAGTTGTGAAGGACACTGTATGTACAATAACAAACTTTGAGATTTATCTTTCCTTTTTCTTTTTTCTCATTAAGTAAATTGAAGTAACAAATTAAACAACATATATATATTTAAATTCTTAAATATAAATGTTCTTTTAGATGATTCTTATATAAATCCCGTTGTCCTATACATGCAAGGAACAAACATAATGAAGCAAGAGAAAAAGATAGTTTTAAGTTTTTTTGTTTTCATTTTTTAATGAACTGATTTGGGACACAATTTTTTTCCTTTAAAAACTTAATTTCCAAAAAATATTATCAGAGAAAGCAATATAAAATAAAGAGAAAAAAAGAACAAAAAAGAATTAAGGAATTGCGACAAAGATGAATGGTACAGTGAGTAATATGTTGGGTACGTAAGTTAATATTATGTGCTTAGGTTGGCCAACTACATATTTTTACCTATTAACATATGCTTTGATCATAGGAATAATTGGTTTTGTTTAAGAACACAAATTGAAGGAAAGAGTAGCACCAAGTTGAAAGGCAGTTGAGTTGCATGAGCCACCAACTTAATTAATAATTATCCATCTGACTCATTAATTTGTAGAAACTAATTAATTGGGATGTGAAAATTTCAAATTTATCTTTTATTTATCTATATAATTCAACTCAAAGATGAGTGGGAGATACACATTTATGGAATAATATTTCAAAACCTTGATATAGATTTAGGCCTAGAAAGTAGAAAATTGGTATGAGTAGAGAATCTTGATTTATGCTATGTGGTACTGTTCCTTTGTATGGGAAATAAATAAATAATTTACAATATTTTGTTGAATAGAAATGATACATGGCATCCATATTATACGTACTTATTAACTACTGATGAACTTTGTTTCCAGTAAATTCATCATTATTGAAAAAAAAATTGTAAAATGCTTTTTGTTAATTGTATATGACTTAATCTTTGTTAAAAACTAATGAAGGTTTAGATCTTCATTAATTAATGATTTAAGAAAGAATTTTTTAATTGAATTGATATATATATATATATATATATAGTTACTATTGAACCAAATTATGAATTAAAAAAAAAACTAACTCTTATGATTGTAAATCTGACCATGCAAAGCAACGATAATTATACAATGGTTTCCCAAAGACCATTTTTATTGAAATGATCAATATAAATTTTATAGTTTTAGTAAAATTCAATAAAGTAGTGGGTTAATAATAATAATGATGATGATGATGATGATGATGATGATGATTGCCTGATTTAATTTTTTTTATCTCTTTATTTAAAAACTTTTAAGTTTGCATATTTTGTATTCCATAATAATATATATGTATGTATGTATAATCCAATTTTGCACCATATATAATAGATAATGACCACTTAAAAGAGAGACACTTGATGATGACTACTTTCCATGAGCTATCTTGATCAATGCTTGGGAAATGTCATGAACTTCCGAGAATATTCAAGCCTCGAAACAGGCCTTGATGGATTCAATCCTTAAATGTTTCAAGCATGATGTTCCATAGACGTTGAAGACTGAAATGAAACAAAGAAAGAAGGTATCTCATCTCCTAATGGTAGTGAGCCTGCACTCCTCGTCAATGACAAGCATACTCCAGTGTACCATAATAATAGAAAAAGCAAACCTTTTTTAGTACTCTAATTCTTTTGTATGTGCTTTGCTTGTGATTATTCATATAAATTAAGGAGCAAAATAAGTATTAGTAGCTTTTTATTCCTTCAGAAACACTTTTGACAAAGGAATAGGGGAAGAATAAAAATATTCCATGCCTTAACAGAGCAGGATTATTATATGAAGCATAAGCACCTCTCAGTTTGCTGCTGATGCCATTCATTTTCACCACTCAATCAGCCTTATGCTCAAGAAGGTGATGATGATTGGGGCCAGGAGGATCTGCTGCCATATCTGAAGCTTGAGAAATATCTTGTGAAGATTTAAGATGTGATCCTTCACTGATCTTTTTGTTTTTCTTGATTTCTTCTTCAATATGAACATCCTCTTCTATTAGCAATACAGCGTTTTGTTCACCATGAGGGCCTGGTATAATGGCTTCCTGGACTTTGACATGTTCATCTATGCTTATTATTTCTGTTTTCTCAACCATTTTCTTCTTTCTCTTTTTAATGAAGCAGCATAGAGCAACTGACAGGAATGCAAGGAAGAATAGACCGCCAAGAGAAACAAAGACAACGATTATTACAGTTGAATGATGTCCGGGGGCTGGTGGTGGTGGAGGTGGAATCATATGAGGTGGTGGTGTCACAATAGGAGAGGGAGGTGGAAGGGGATGGGGAGGTGGTTTTGCTGCAGGTGGTGATGGATAGAATGGATGATGTGGGGGTGGTGCTGGAACTGGATGTGGTTGTGGTGGTGTAATGGGATTATGTGGTGCCGGCGGAGGACTTTGGTTTTGAAGGGACGGGACTGTGGGAGACGGTGGTACTTTTGGGAGGATGGGGCATTTGGAGGTGGTTGCACTTTGGGAGGGGTTGGAATATAATGGGGTGGTGCTGGAACTGGATGTGGTTGTGGTGGTGTAATGGGATTATGTGGTGCCGGTGGAGGGACTTTTGGTTTTGAAGGGGACGGGACGTTGGGAGATGTTGGTACTTTTGGGGAGAATGGGGCATTGGAGGTGGTTGCACTTTGGGAGGGGTTGGAATATAATGGGGTGGTGCAACTTTTGGAGGGGCTGGAGTAAAATGAGGTGGTGCCACGTTTGGAGGAGTCGGAGGTTTATAAGGCGGTGTTGGCCTTGGAGGGGAAGGATGGTTATTAGGTGGTGGCATTTTTGGACGTGATGGAGGACCATGGGGTGGTGGCAGAGGGAAATATGGGAAGTACATGTTGGTAATAGAAGCCATTTCTATGTGAGAATGTGAGAAGTAGTGATTGCGGAAGACTTGTTCGTGATGATACTGGCCTGAGATGGAAGAAGGGCATATATAGATGCTAATTGTAGTGTTGCTGCCTCGTGCTTATGTGAGTGGTTTTGCGTTCTTCTACGGTTTTAGTTACTTGACTGTCATGCTAAGATTGTTGTTGCCTTGTCAGTGATTGCAGTAGAAAGCACTTCTTGCATATTTATTATTGATTTTGCATCAGAGCTTTTCACTATTCATTTCATGATGTATTGAGAGGTTGATTTCTGTGTTACTTTCCCTTTTAGACCAAATGGTCATGATTTGCAATCTTCTGAAAATGACTTCCTCGGGATGGCACCTGATCATCAAAATTCAGAATTTTGGCATTGCATCTACCGAGAAATGAACTTGTTCATAGTTTTCTTGATCAAACATAATCTTTTAAAAAAGAAAAATCCACACTTGATTTTTTGAATAAGAGATACATACACCTAACATTATATTTAATAATCAATAACATTTACATAATAATTTTTAATCTGCAAGTTCATTGTCTATTTGTCCCTCAAGAATTCTTGAACGTTTCTTCAATTTACAGCAAATTAAATACCCAAGTTTTGAGGTTTTACCTGGTACCATCATTCACATGTCTGAGTTTAATGATGAACTATTATGATGGAGAAAACAAAACTAATGTTCTAGTGATTTAAATGGAAATTGAACTAGTCTTGAAACTATACCATCATGTTTTGGATAAGCTTTGACATTGTTTCATTTCAATTGCAGGCTTGGATTTGCAGTGAATATATTATCATCTGGCCACAGAATAGAGGGAAACAAATATGTTTAGTGTTTAATCTGACCTTAGCAACATTATATATATGCCTTAAAAAGAACAGTAATGGCGAGTACAACAACAAATGTATCTCTTAACGTGGTGAATCATCAAAATTTTAATATTTGAACAGGACATGGACAAATTTGTTACATTTGAATACCCAATTTTGGCCGCTTCTCACATGTAAAACGTAAGAAAAGGGCAAGAAAGAATGAAAAAATTAGTTTCTCTTACACGTTCCTTTATTTGTGTAACTCTACATTTTTCTCTATAAAAAATTGAGTGCTTTGCCAAGAATTGCAGACTTGTCATACTGGTTCCCGGAGGATTATAGGTCTTTGTGCGAGGTGAATTTCGATCCATGTTAATTTCGAGTTCAGAGGAAAGGTGCATGCAGACCAGGGTTCAATCATCGCTCTTGCTAATCCAATCTGCATCAATCACAGAGAACTCACTCAAAATGTGGTTACCACCTGAAAAACTACAAAAGTTTTCCTTCTAAACTGTGCTGCTATTGGAGATGGAATGGATTCTCAAAAGCAAGGACAATAAATAAAAGCATCAAAAAGGAAAAAATTCATCCTAGAGCATGAAGATCAAATTGAGGAGTGTATAAATTATAGCTGTAAAGCTGGAAATAAGTGAAATCAGAGAGGAAATGAACTCACACTATTCTTTATAAACTGCAGGAAGTTCATAAGCAGCAAGCAGGTATGAGAGGAAAATTTCATTCCAGACATCAGGTACGCCAGGAAGACACCAGTGGCTACAATCAGGCACAGTTGGATTGTCACTCCACCTGCCCACATGTGCATCTCTTCGGAGAGCCGACATGGAAGTTACATGCAGAAGAGTTATAGGAACAGTCATATTCTTTATCACTTCGAAAATAGTCTCTGAAAAAATGCTTTGATCCCTCCCTTCAGTTTCTGATAATGGATTCTGGGTCACATTGCAAAACCGACGTGATTTTTCACTGATGCAGAAATAAAAAAAGTTTAATAATTTATAAAATGGCAAACAAACCTGATTTTGAAATTAAGCAGACAAGAAAATAATGTAATTAATTATATATAAATAAATGGTAGGACAAAATTAGTCCAATAAATGATGGTTGACTGCAACAGGAACCAGCCAGAAACAGACCCAACTTCGAAACCATTTAAGAGAAGAATAATTTACAAAACTATGAAATAGATGTGAAGATCTGAAATTGTTCAAATTGTACATATATGCCAAGTCAGGGTTGTTTGCTGAAACAGAGCAAAAGCTGCAACACAATATCAGTTTGTGAGAAGCAAGAGAGAGAGAGAGAGAGAACAGCTCATATGGCATTCACACCAAGAAGAACAGACAGGACATTTGGTTTTTTGTTTGTCCAGTGACAGGACAGCAGTTAAAAATAAGGTAACATAACACAGTTAATTCAGCACCTACAAGGACTTCATTTTGAGTAATATGTTTGGAAAGAGCAAAATGGTGCAGCTGAGTGTTATATTCCTCCGTTTAAAGAGTTGGGTTCAAATCCCTCTTCTCCAAAAATTGTACTTGATCAAAGAAAAATAAAAGAAATAGCATCACGATATTGTTGATTACCTCCAGTGAGATGGCTCGAATGTCCGGAAAAAGACAAGTGTTCTGTTTGCATCAATCATGTTCTCAACCCATGATGCCCAAGTACCTAGTGCAGTTCTGAATGCGGTAGGAATTGACATTCCAAGCTTTACTGAATTTTCAACCTGAAAGTAGCAACCACTGCAAAGAAAGAATTCAGGAGCATTTGTTAAATGTGTAAATAAAAGCATCCAGAAAATGCTTCCAAGCTAAATGTCATTTTTAATTAGAGACAAAGCTGGTCTTGCTTATACTGTAGACTAAGTTCATTGAACACTATGTGGTCAAAAAAGCACATTTGAGGATCCAGCATAAAACTAAACATTAGAATACAGTAAAGGCCAGTGAGGTGTCACCTGGATTCTCTTTCAATTTAGAAAATTTTGAATTGTATATTTCGGGCATCGGTTTAACTAATCATTTAATTTTTCAAATTTACTTTTCCCTTCTTTGAGCAACTTTGGAATAATAACTGATACCGACTTTGCTGTTTTCAAACTACAGGACAGGGTAAAAAAGAGAAACCTTTATTTAAACAAGCTGCAGGAGGGAAAAATGTAAGAATAATATTATATGAAGGTAATCAGGAAATATTTTTTTAGTTTCCCATCAGCATTCTCTCATGACATTTGAAGTGTCCATGTTGATTGAAGAATGGTAATCTACTTGTCCAGGAAAAAGTGTTTTGCTTTCCAACCTCCAAAATGGCAGAAGTTGCAAGCTCAAGAGTAGTAGGGATCCAAATTAAAACAGCAGCACAAAAATGAATTCATGTACATTTTCCTTAAGTATCATAAAAGTTTAGTTTCAAATTCTTCACACTGTAGCCCAAAGAAACAGAACCAAATGACTGAATCATGGCAATGTACAAAATTAGATAGACATTATTAATCAATGTGGACAAGTCCCAACTCATTGTATCTCCTAGAAGTGAACACTAGAATGACCCCTACTTGGAAAGAAAGATCGTGGGCTTTATAATTTGCCCAATTGTCAAGTACAACAGGGTAAGTATTCCAGCAGTAAGGGATCCTTCACAGTCAAAATTCTCACAAAGGTCACAATACAGTAAATGTTATGCAATAAGTAGAAAACAACAAGAGGATGTATAATACAACTACCAAAGTAAACCATTAACATGTTGCAGCAACTGCTAGCTTTTTCCCTAACTATCAATCAAAAAAAAAAAAAAAAAGAGAAGGCAGAAAGAAGTGGGGGGAGATAGAAACTTTTCTTTAAGATTCAATAAGTGACATTCATTTAATCATATGGACTTTGAAAGATGGAAAAAAAGAATAACCCCAGATATAAAGAGCATCATTGACACTTAAACAAATGTTATTTATAAGCACAGAAAGTAACATTGCAACAGAGTCTAGAGCATCGCTTTTGACATGCCATCAAATTCGTTCATGAGAACTCTCAAATTGAAGATATTGCTTTTTGAAATAACAAGAAATTAACCATATGACATCATGTAAGTTCACAGACAGACTGAAGGCAACTTACGTTTCAAAGAGCTTCCCTGGTACCCACCATTGTCCCGTGTTGAATATGAGAACATCTGCATTAATCCACTCATTGCTAATATCATCCAACTTGTCCAACTTAAGGGTTGACCTAACACGCTTTGGAGCATGTCTAGGCATCCAACCATGTTGCACCAAGAAAACTGAGCGAAAGAACTCAATGGTAAAATTGAAGGAACTAAACCGCACACCTAAAAACCTGATCCGTTTAGTTATCTTATTCCCATTAACTTCATAAACACTCTTCTTATCTTCCACTCCAGTCATGAGCAAGCATATCAATGATTCCCACTGTGTTCTACTCATAGAATCTCCAACAAAAACAACCCTTTTATCTCGAAGCATTTCCAGAACATTTTGCACATTGAACCTTGGGATATCACAATTTTTTGGTTTCCACCTCCATTTAAGATAATCTTTATCTTTCCTGCCATTTCCCAAGCAATTGAATCCTTGTTCTGCAAATGGACATTCAGAAGCATTGTATAATGGGTAACTATCATCTATAACCCAGCTTCCATCAAAAATATCACAAACATCGCTCGATTCATCAAATTTTGACACACTATACCCAAGAAATGCTTGGCTGAGACTAGGGAGAACAAACATATAACCTCCACCAATTACTATAAAAAATGAAATCAGAGCCCCAATGAGAATAAGCACAGGAAACAAGCGTGAGACCCAGCCCAACCTATGATGAACTCTAGGACTAGCAAAACCCGGAGGTTTAGGGCTAAGAACATTCAAGGCGCTGGGGCTTGCAATACTCAAAAATCTCGGGCTTTCAACATTCAACGCCCTTCGGTTGAATGATGTACTCCTACTAAAATTATTCACCATCTCAATCAATTCATAATGCCAATATATTCCAAGTAACATTCATGAAACCAAGCATCATTTTTTCTACCATCTTCTACCACCAACATTCAACAAACTCCCAACAAAAACAGCAACCCAAAATGAAAAGATTATACCTTTAAGATCTTCAATAACCCATTTATCTATAAACAACTTCAAACACGTTATATAATTGATCCAATATAAGTACCACACTATCCATTAACAAAATTTCACCGTCAGTTCAAATAAATGCTCCGCATTCAGCTCACAGAAATATAAGAGTTTCAAAGTAGAGCAACAACATTATATAGAAGTAAAACGAGACGAGCATATCTATACATATCCAATGCTCAAATTACAGCTTTTCCAGAAATTCAAGCTGAAAGCTATCATCTTTATCACAACTCATTTGACATCAACGACCAAATAAACAAAATGGGTTTTTGCCAAATCTCAAGAAAAACAAACCCAGATGCAAAAAGAACAGAGAAATCCAATAATTCGGATGAATTAAATGAGAAAAAAAAAAGATCTTACTTAGCTGGTGGATGAAGGCAGAGTTAGAGAGAAATATAGCATTGAAATGAATGAGAAAGAAGAAGAGAGAAATGACAGAATGCTTCAATGGAAAGGAATGGGAGAGATAAGTGGGCTGTGAAGAGAAGGAGATCGGAGAGGTGGTTAAGAGAAAGAGACAGCACTACATGAAAATATATGAATGGAAAATCATACACAAAGCTTCCACCAGAAAATTATATTATAAACAAAGCCTGCTGAAAGTATTGTTGTTACAATTATATTATAATAATAAACAATAACTTATTAAGCAGTTGAAGATTTTGTCCTGGAGGAGGTTATTTTTGTAATTTCATTATCTATTAATTTTTCCTTTAAATGTGTGTTGTCTTAAAATTGGATTTGCCATCTTTCTTAATTTTTCATTTCTAGGTCTAGATAGTTGATCCAATACCAACAGCATAATCATTATACAAGAAAGGATTTGAATTCGTTTATTCCAATTAAAAGATACTAATTAATAATTATAATTGAATCCAATGTTCAGATGTATTACAAGAAAAATATTTTCCTTCTCTAACATACAAAAAAAATGTAATTACTGAATGAATTTGATTTTTTTTCCACAATTTTAAAAATGAGATTTACTATTGTAAAAAAGAAATAAAATAAATTAAATTATACTTTTAATTTACAGCAAGATAAACTTTCTTTCATAACTACTTAAACTCTTAGGTTTTGCTTTCATTTCTAAGAAATTATTGTAAAACAATAAAACAACATAAAAATTTAGGAGTTTGTTGGTCTAGAATGATGTAATTTTTTATTTTTCACAATAAATTAAAAAATAAAAGAACATTTAAAATTAAGACATACAAGTGAAAATAAATTGAAAAATTACAAAATTTAATTTATATGAATAAAAAAATAAATGTCAAAGTATGCTTCTTAAAACTACCATGTTAAATATAATGTAAATATTCATGTTTCGTTATTATTTTTTATGAGTGGAAGGGGATTCAAATTTTACTTTTTGAATAGATAAATTATATATTAATCAATAAACTAAATCTGGGGGTGTTATACTTCGTTATTGCTAAAAGAGTATTACAAAATTAATTTTAAATCTCATCTACTTCAAATTGAGTTTTTGAAAAATATTTTGATTATATAAGGCCTTTGATCTATTTTTTGATTAACAATTTTTCATAACAATGATTGAATATAATTTTTAATGCCAAAAATTAAAAAATATATTTTAAAAATGAATATAAAACATAGAAAAAATTGTTGGTATTTAAAGAAGAAAATACATATAATTTTAAGACAACTCAAAAAAGAAAGGTGGATATTTAATTTAGAAGAGGAATGATAACATGTTGAGTTTTATGCTTTCTTGAAATTTAATGTGTTTTCTTATTGTATTATATTAATTGAAAATATGTAAAACATCCTAGGATTATAATGAGAGAAATCTTATTGAATGAGTAATCAAGAAATAATTGAATTAATTTTAAAAAGTAAGTTTTTTAAAATTTCTTATTTTCAAAAGCTTTTAAAAATACTTTTTTGTTTTTTTTAAACATCTAAAACCATGTAGTGTATTTAATTTTAATCCGTATACTTGAGAGTTAAAAACCATAATTTGACATAATGGGTAAGAGTGATGGTGGTGAAATATTTCATGGCAAAGTTTAGGTAGTATATAATAAGGGAGGAGAGATTCGCTTACACCCTTTAATATGTTTTATACTATTTATATTTAATAAATCCAATCATTGAAGTTCATACTTTATTCAAGTAGATCATGAATATCAAATTTCAAGTTATATTGTCTAATTAATTATTTGATATAATAAAATTTTTATTGTTAAATATGGTGATTCAAAAATTTTATTTGCATTGATGAATATGAGTAGTTGTTTAATCTAACAGTCGATTCATTAAAATATTAATTATATATGAAGTTATAAGAAGTTATAAAAGCGAAGAGGTTTACAACAGTATAATTTGATAACATTTACCACACACACATAAAGCATAAATTTTTTTATCTCGAATTTGTGACCTTCACATTATTAGCATGACTCTCTAACCAATTGAGCTAATAAGCCTTTTTTATTAAAAAAATTTCAATACATTTCTTTGAATCGTGTTTGGGATGCATGCTTGAGTTTAGTTTCCTTTCGAGTTTTTCTTTCTTTAATTCTCCTCCTTCTCTCTCTCTCTCTTTTATTTGTTTGTTTTCACTTGTTCTCGAATTATGAAAGATTAAAAAGTTCCATTAGAAATGGTATTAAGATGTAAAGTTGTAAATTGCATCAAACTATCCTTTTAATTAGGGCTAATTAGAACCAAATGGTGATCAAGGCCGACTCTAAGGATCTAATGAATGTGAACAAGCTTATAAGGCATATGAGATGAGGGGTAAGGCCCTTTTCAAGTTTATCGTGGAGCCAAGATATAAGATAACAAATCAACGACATAAATACATACATATATATAATTTAAAAATCTATTTATCTTTAAATTTTTTATTCTATGTATTGTTCAATATATATTTATATGGACGCTCTCATATATTCAATATTTAACTTTTTTTTTCAATAGCTTATTTTGAATCACATATTTTGTTCAAAAATGATTATGTGAATGGCTTAAAAGCTAGTTTGGTTCAGAGTTATAGGTATGTTTATTTATAATTGTTGAATTTCACTATAATTAAAATGTTAATCACTGTAATAGTTGTGATAAAAGAATTTTAACTGCAGTGGTTTGCTAAAACAATGTAAGAACCAACTGTTTTGCGATTGAACATGATTTTTATTGTATTAAAAATATCAATATCCCCTGATTAAAATCAAATGAATTTTATTTTACTATTTTAGCATCATGTTCATTTTATTAAATTTAATCTTCTCACAGCACTTCAACCAATGCTATACATTTTGCACTATCAAATCACAATTTTACATTTTTTAGCAAATTTCAAATTACAATCGTAATTTTGAATTGCAACATGCAATGATCAAATTAGAATTTTTAATTAACTCCTTTGCAAGCCCCCCAGGAGGCTTAATCTCACCTTGATCTCTTGCACAAAGGATTAATTGTTTAAACACTGACTAAATCCATAAATCATTACCAACTCAAGTCAAAACTATTTTTTTTAAAAAAAAATCTAATAACAGAAGAACAATTATATATTTAACCAATAAATTATGAATGAAAAATAAGCAAAAAAAAAGTATACAAGAATAATACTCATCTTAGAACAAAAACCTAATTAATGAGAGACTGAAGTATAGTTTCATTTTATTATGTTTGGGTTGGAAAACCGTTCATGCCTACAGCAATTATAGACAAACTGAAGTTTGGAAATTATGATACAAAGTCACTATTGGCTCAAACCTCAAGTTGGATGGAAAATTGTGAATATGTTTGGCATTAAATTGCAGTCTTAATCAGTTTTTAATACCCAAATGAAAGTTGATGTATTAATATTTAGATCATAGATATGGGCGTGAGTGTGTATTTGGTAGTGATACCTTTATATATTGCTAGATATATATTGCATGTGGCACCCAAATGCAAGTTAAGAAGCTTGATTTTTATCATCTTGAATAAGTATTATAGCCAGAAGAAAAATGTAACGACCTTGTATATTTATCACTTTATCTTGGAATAAAGCAATAACAAAAGGAGTAGCAAAACTCCATCTGTGAAAAGATTTGATACATCTGGCAATGGCAATCCTAATACAACTTCTTCAATTTCATGTAAATGAGAATTATAATATCAAAACTTAGTTTTAAATGAATCTCTCTCAAATAACATTGGAAACATACTCAACAAGGTTTATCTTTTATCATCTTTGCTGCCAAATCTTTGAGGAGAACAAAAATAAGAACAAGGAAAGACAATGCATTGCCAGGTTTTTTTAAGGTCACATCCACGTTTTCTTCATTTTCTTTTTTGATATAGGACTTAATTAGAATTTCTATCCAAATCTTATCCCACCTCTACTAATTGAGCTAAGCGTTTAAGCTCAAGTGCCCATAT